CTTTTTCCAGCTCTGAGTTTCCAGGACAGCTTGCAATCCTACCTATTTTCCCTTCAATTCTTTGCTGATTCTCTTCCTGGGTCCCCAACATGCAAAGCCTTCCCTGTGGGAGGCTAGAAACTCTCCTGCGCAATGCACCTTCCCATCTTCAGAGGCAGAGCTGTGCTACTAGGCCAGGTGTGCTGTGCTTGGTGACCAGCGAATGCATTCTAGGCTGAGGGTTTCCCTGATTTCCTGTCTCTGCCTGAGAACCAGTTTATTATGTCCCTTACCCTATAAATCAATTTTTATTCCATGTAAAATACACACAGAGAGCCCCTGGGCCAGTGACCTTTCCTTTTCCTTTCCCCAGATAGACCTGAAGGAGCAAGGACAGCTCTTGCATCGGGACCTCTTCACTGTCATCTGTGGCCGAAAGAAGTGCCTTCGCCATGTCTTTCTCTTTGAGCATCTCCTCCTGTTCAGCAAGCTCAAGGGCCATGAGGGGGTGTCTGAGACCTTTGTTTACAAGCAGGCCTTTAAGGTACAGTGCCCGGAGTTTGGGGGGAGAGGAGTGATGAGGGGGAGGAAAGCGGACAGGAAATCAGGCTCTTCTTGAGAACTCAGGATGCTCTGGAAATTCAACCCCAACTCAGGTTCAGAATCTGCATCGTCTAGAATAGGCTTGACCTGTAATGAACCATCTAGTTAGTGTGTGAGGGGATGACAGAAGTCCCTGTCATTCATTTACCCCATGGAGCTTATGTTCATGCAGGAGAGTTATGAGGCATTCCAAACCAGAATAGGAGAGGAACTTTTCTATTAAAAACACACATGTCTTTTGGGGTAGGGGTGGTCCCTGGAGCATGAGCAGAAAGGACACTGTATACAGCTTACCTTGACTGAGCTGAAGAACCTAAGAAGAGGGAGGCCTTGCTTTAGGGAAACAGCCTTGGTATCCAGATAAATGTCCATAGCAACCTACGGTCCTGGATCAGGCAGTGTGGAATGACTGTAAGGGTTTCTGTACTTTGTACCCCTACATTAGTTCCAGCTCTTCAGGGGGAAATACAGTATAGAGACAAAGACCTAGGTTTGGAATAACAGACGTGGGTTCAAATCCTGACTCTCTCTAATAAGCTATGATTAGCCCTTGGGCAAGTTGTTTCATGTCTCTGGGCCTCTTTTTCCCTTTTGTAAATTACGGTTCTTATGAAGACTAAATATAGAGCACTTGGCACATGATTAGGTGTTGAGCAAACATTTACTGAACATCTACCAGATGCCAGGCTAAGCATAGTGCTTGTCCATGAGGTGCCCCCTAGCCGGGACTCGCCCCATCTTCAGCCATTCCCCTCTGCTCTTCCTCAGACTGCCGACATGGGGCTGACAGAAAACATAGGGGACAGCGGACTCTGCTTTGAGCTGTGGTTTCGGCGGCGGCGTGCACGAGAGGCATACACTCTGCAGGCAACCTCTCCAGATATCAAACTCAAGTGGACAAGTTCCATCGCCCAGCTGCTATGGAGACAGGCGGCCCACAACAAGGGTACTGAGGCAGAGCCAAGGGAGGGTGTGCTTGGAGTCAGGGATATGGCAGGAAGTTTTCTGGAGAGTGGAGACGGCTGCGAAAACAGGGTTTTTGGGAAAATAGGGTGTAGGATGAAGAAGAATTACTTAGAAGATTCAAGATCTGGTGTGAGAGAGATTGCTGGGATAAAAATTAGCCTAAGGTGTACCAAAAAGAAAGAGAAAACTAGCAAATTTCGGGAAAGCAAGAGCAAATGGCTAGGCAAAAGAAGGAGAGAAACTGTGCATTGGACTTGGGTTTAAGAACTTGTGCCACTTACTTGCTGTGTGACCTGGACTAGTTTTTTGTTTGTTTATTGGTTAAGTTTTTGTTTTGTTTTGTTTTTAATTCTCTGAACCTCATTCCATTCATCTGAAAAATGAAATAGTAATATCTTCATCTTAGTGTGATAGGATTAAATAAGGTGATATATGTGGAAGCACTCTGTAACTGTAAAGGTGTAAAAATGTGAGTTTTTCTCTTAAAGCCCAAGATAAAGGGAAGAAGTTGAGTATTAGAAGAGAAGTCAGGCAGCTAAATTGCCAAATGGGCAGGATGCAACAAATGGGAGAAAAGAGACAGACATCAAACCACCATCACCACCTATGTTGTGATAGTCAACAGGAAGAGTAACAAGAGATACCAGAGGAATGAAAGGGAGGAATGGGAGTTGGGCAGAGCAAAAAGAGTACACCATGACATGCTAGGACAGAGGAGGTTTGTAACAGGGTCTCTGTTCCCTAGAGCTCCGAGTGCAGCAGATGGTCTCCATGGGCATTGGGAACAAACCCTTCCTGGACATCAAAGCCATTGGGGAACGGACGCTCAGTGCCCTGCTCACTGGAAGAGGTGAGGGCCAGGGTGCTGGGGGTGGTCCCAGAAGTCAAGACCTTGACAATGAGGGCACAATGGGGAAGCATGCTGGAATGTCAGGAAGGATAATGAGTGGGTATCTCTTCCCAAGATCTGTGGGACTGACTGGGAGACCTTCTATGAGACTGAGGGTCATTCCAGGGACCCAGGGGGGCTTTCCCACACCAGCACCACACCCCCCACTCTCTGCAGCTGCCCGCACCCGGGCCTCCGTGGCCGTGTCATCCTTTGAGCATGCTGGCCCCTCCCTTCCCGGCCTCTCACCGGGAGCCTGCTCCCTGCCTGCCCGCGTCGAGGAGGAGGCCTGGGATCTGGACGTCAAGCAAATTTCCCTGGGTGAGACACCTCTAAAGGGGTGGCTCGCAACAGCTGGGTCATCATGGTGATGTTCAGGCTGCTTGCTGCTGAGCAATTCCTTTTTCTAGCCAGGAAGCCGCATTGCCATGACAACTATGTACAGCTTCCCCATTGCTAAAAGAGCCTTCCATCTAGTTGCTAGGATGATGCTTACAGCAGCCTGTTGCTAAGAAGCACTTCCTATGTACCTCTCTCTCTAGCGCTCCTTGGGTTTCTATGGAAACTGCCTCAGCTTCCTGTTGTACCCTCCTGGTTCACCGTGGCAATCCTTATAGTTTCCTGTCGCTTCTTCCCTGGTTGCTCTAATGATGCTGCTGACAATTTCCTGCCTCTTGGTAGGGGGGTTCTCTTTCAACTGGATTGCTTTGGTGACTCACAGCTTCCTGTTGCTATGGAGCTTTTTCTTCCCTGATGGAGCAGTTTGGTTGCTTAAGGTAACCTGGAGGAGTTCTATACCCTGTTCTTACCCTTGTTTCCCCTCCAGCCCCAGAAACACTCGACTCTTCTGGAGATGTATCCCCAGGACCAAGAAACAGCCCCAGCCTGCAACCCGCCCACCCTGGGAGCAGCACTCCCACCCTGGCCAGTGGAGGGATCTTAGGGCTATCCAGGCAGGTAAGTCCCTATAAAAAGGCTGGGAATGGAGTGATCTCTTGGGCCACTTTCTGGGTGGGCTTTTCTGATCATTCAACCCATGGGAGGTGGGGGGAGCAGTGATCTTGTGCTCCCAGCTGAGGCTACAGATTGGATTTATTGTTCAGTCAGCCTTTCTCCTCTCCTCCAGGCCTTGCTGACAGGCATCAAGGTCAGAGGTGGAAAGGAATCTTTAATAAGGACCATAGTGCTGTAGTGGATAGAAAGGGGAGAGTGCCGATGGCCTGGTTTGGACTTGGGTTAAATTAGCAAAATTCAGGAACTTTGAGAAGGAAAACAAGTGAATTGACAGACTTGGGGGAGAGACAGACACGGAATGTCTCTTAAATTTACTGCAGTTTCTCTCCCCTCAGAGTCATGCCCGAGCCCTGAGCGACCCCACCACGCCTCTGTGACCTGGGTGAGCACTCCTTCCTACCACATACAACACTTGCTCCCTCTTGAACGTACCCTCCTTCCTCCCCCCCAGCTGCATGGGAGTCAGCTTCTTCCTTCTCCCAACCCATCTCCCTCTTCTCTCCCAGCTTCTAGAGAAGATCCACAATTTGGCTGCAGCCCCTCCTCTCAGCACATTTTGGGCTGGGATGGCAGTGGGTCCTAATGGACTGGGAGAGCACTGAATTCCTTCCCTCTGCTTCCTGGACAGAGAGGAGGTCTAAGGACCAGAGCATTACCTTGCTATTGCTATCTAGCTCTCCCCACCTTGGTGCCTTCTCCTGCAGAAACCAGAGTGACCACACTTGCCTGCCTTCATACCCTGGAGGCAGGGGTTATAATCCCTCTTCCAGTCTCACCCCATTCTGGGCCACTGCACACCCTCAGGACACCGCTCCCACGCCAGCCCTCCCCTGACAGCCTGTGTTCTCTTCTCACTGCCTGACTCTCCCTGAGAAGACTCATCTCTGCCAGGTCAAATGGAGTTCTTGGGGACTCCATTCTGGAGTGTCACAGGAAATGGAGCTATGAAAACCATTATAGGAGGGTGGGGCAGGAAACTGCAGACTTTGTATGTGTAATTACTGTTATTATAATACTATTGTTATATTAAATGTATTTACTCACACTTTGCCTCTGAGGAGCTAGAGCAGTCCTCTGTTGATAAAACTAACTTGAGCACTTTGCCTCAACCAACTATTAACTAAAACACAAAATAAAACCAAGACTGGAAGGTATGCTCTACCCATGACTGGCCCAAAACTGACTGTGCACGAACCTGGGAGCACGTGCCTCCTCTACAGTGGCTCCCAGAGGCTCAATGAATTCTTTTAAGTTCCTCCTCCTACACTGCACGCACTTCTTGAGGCTGAGCTGGTCACAAACTGGGATCTAGCACATTCAGCAGTTCTCAAGATAAGGTCCTCAGGCTACAGTGCATGAGAACCCCCTAGGCTACTTGTCAAATACTAATTCTCAGGCCACACCTACGAAATCCAAAGCCTGGGGATACAGCCCAAGATTCTGCACTTATCAAACTCTTTGGGTGATAACTAAGTTCCTGAAGAGGTGACTATTTCCTAGACAGAAAGGCCCAAGGAGGGGAACAGGACACAGGCAGACAAACACTGAGCCCTGTGCCTCAAGACACCTGTTTATTGGGGACACGACTCTGCGACAGGGATGACAGGAATCGTACCAAAAATAGCAACGTCTACAGGGCCCCTGATGGGGCTAGAAGGGTACAGTGCCCCCCACCCCCACCCCTTGTACAAAAATAAATTCTCACGCCTATGGACCAGCAAAGACTGGCAGAGCGGCTCCTCAACAGAGACACAATCCTCTCTGCTAGCCCTGGGACCCCGTTCTTTGACCCTCACCTCTGCCACTTCTAAGGCACTGTGACTCCCTTGGGCTGGGTAAGAACCGCCCGCCCAACGCTCCTACACCCGCCGCCCCCTCCACCTCTGGTCCGCCTGGGGCTGGGATACGGGTCCCACGCTGCCCCTGCTGGCTGCTCTACCCAACTACCTCTAGCGCTCCCCGCTCCGGCGGGGTAAGCTCACTAAGCTAACCTCCTCTAAGAGGGCTCCCTACCGTTCTTGCCCCCCCAGCCCCGCCTCTCCGGATCTCGACAGCCCTAGGCCCTCTTCCCCTTCCTGCACAGGACTGGGAGGGGTCTCTCTTGATGGTGCACAGGTGTAGGGCGGGGACGCGTCAGCCTGGGGCGGCCGACGGCCCCGAGCCCGGCGGCTGTGGTGCACTTGCAGGTGCAAGGCCATGAGCTCAGGGGCTCCAGTGGCGAAGGGGCAGAAGAGGCAGCGGTGGAGGGCACCCCCCGGCCCGGCCTCGCCTCCCGGCCCCGCCCGCAGGGACAGGTCCAGGGGTTCGGCCTCACCGCCTCGCCCGTTGCGCAGGGTCCTCCCGGGACTGGCGGGCTTCCTACGCGACCCTGGCCCGGCGCCACTCGAAGGAGGCCCG